ATTCTAAGCGGGCGAACGATATATGCAGGCGGTAGAAAAGCTAACGAACGAAAAACAATTAGCCGAAAAAACAATAATAAACGAAGAAGGAGAATAAGAAATGTCAAATGACGTTTGCTATTAACTCCTTCGTGGTGAATTAACGTTAACCCTTGTAAGTGCGTGAACATTAACTCTTATGTTATACATGCAACCATTATATCTTTAAAGTTAGTATATTCGAACCCAACATACCGCCGCCCTTGAACTATCTATGTTCATATGATAGGTTCAACTTAATTTTACAAATAGATGGTTACAATACATTTTTGAAAGAAAAAAACTTTAAATATAGGAAAAAGACTTAGAGTACGATTATCTTATTGGGCTATGAGTCAGCACCATCGCAAAATAGGTCTCCTTTGGTGGGTAGTAGACACAACTTTGCTATTGGACGAACAAACTCTCCATTAGACGTTTTCACTGTCACGACTCGTACGCGACCATCAGCTCCAGGATGACATCGAATTACCCTCGCTAGTAACCACTTTGTAGGGGGAGTAGGCTCGTTGAACACAGCTTCTATATCTCCTTCTTCGAAGTTGCTTGTTGGCCGAAACCGCTTTGTGCGGCGTTGCAGGCTGACAAGATATTCATCTCTCCAACGACGCCAAAAATGCCGCCTTATTGCGGAAATTAACTGCCAACGTTGATAAAGATTTCCGCAGAACCCTTGACCCTCAGGTTCTGGGATTGACTTAAGCGGCTCCCCAACGATAAAGTGCCCTGGGGTTAACGCTTCGAGGTCGACTGCGCTTGTTGTGCCTTCGCATAACGGGCGCGAGTTCACGCATGCTTCGACTTCTGTCAATAATGTACTAAACTCTTCGTATGAAAGTAGAGTTTCGCCCAAAACGCGTTTTAGGTGGTATTTAATGCGCTTGATACCGGTCTCCCAGTATCCACCCATATGCGGCGCGGTCGGCGGATTAAAACGCCACTCTATGCTCGACTCAGAAAAGAAAGATTGTAGTCTGCCGTCTGCCATGCATTGCTCATATCTGTTGCGAAGTTCCTTCTCAGCGCCGACGAAGTTTGAGCCATTATCTGAAAACATCGTCTTGCAATACCCTCTTCGGTTAATAAACCTTTTGAATGCGTTAAGAAAAGCGGAAGTCGATAAATCTCCGACAAACTCTAGGTGCATTGCGCCAGTGCACATACAAATGAAGGAGCAAATATAGCCTTTGATGGACTTCGCCCCTCTTCCGTGCGTGTACTTAAACATGTATGGGCCGGCAAAATCTACGGCGGTGCGAATGAAACAGCGGACGTAGGTAACTCGAGATACAGGAAGATCACCCATTGATTGCGTAGCGAGATTCCGATTTAAATAAGTACATTTTACGCACTTGCGATAAGCACTGCGGATCAAGTTGCGGGCGCCAATAACCCAGTAGCGGCGTAGCAAAACCACTTGCATTAAACGTGGTCCTGCATGCAGAGTGAACCGGTGAATGTCGAATATGATTAGCTTCGACAGCGGAGAATTCTTGGGTAAGATGACGGGATGCTTTGCATCATATGCGACATCCGCGGACTTCAGTCTACCCCCAACTCGAAGAATACCATTTGAGTCGAGAAACGGCTGCAAGCGCAACAGGCTACTGCGGAGCGGGATCGGCCTTTTTGCGCTGCAATGAAAAATTTCGCTCAGCTTCAGCTATCTCAACACAGCTAGGAGGACCACATCGTTTTTCGCCAGTGCGTTGAATACTAGAGCGGGTATTGAGCATAAAACGTAAAACGTAAGCGATGATTCGCCGTAATTTGGAGTACGACGAGTATTTAGTCATTATCGACCAATGAAGATCCGAGTTTGTGACATGAGAATGAACCTTCTTCCGTAGACCCAACTCCGTTACGTGCGTTTTTGATAAGCCTTGCTTCCAAAACTGGTTTGAACTACTCAGAAATTCTGGACCGTTCCACCATTGCTCATGGTGCAGAAGTTTTAGCGGAGTCATACCTCTAGAGGCGCAATCTGCTGAATTTCCTTCAGAGCGTACGTGATTCCAGCACTCCGGAGGAAGAATCTCGTGGATATCAGCGACCCGGTTTGCGACAAACGTTTCCCATCTGCTAGGGTGTGCTTGCAACCACGCCAACGTAATAGTTGAGTCCGTCCAAGCAAATAACGGGTATCGTAGATCACCCCAACTATGCAACACACTTCTAACTAACTTAGCAGCGAGGTGAGCAGCGCACAGTTCCAAGCGTGGCAAAGATGTAGTTTTAATCGGTGCCACTTTGGTTTTGGCCGAAATTATTGAAACGGTGACCTGACCGTCACTATGAACGGTGCGTGCGTACATCACTGCAGCGTAAGCGCGCTCGGAAGCATCAGCGAAAATGTGCAATTCAGTAAAAGATGCAGTCGTTCCACAACTGAGCTAGCGACTCACCTTCAAGTTTACTAATTTCTGCAGCTGCACGCGATGATCAACCCATAGATTTGCTATTGTGTCTGGTATCAAGTCATCCCATCCAACCTCAGCGCGCCAAATGTCTTGGAACCACATTTTCGAGCATATTGTCACAGGAGCAAGTAAGCCCAGCGGATCAAAGAGAATACTGGCATCTGACAAAAAGGCTCTCTTAGTCAAAATAGCGGGTGGCTCCTTTAGGTCGACTGCGAATGTAAAGTAGTCGCCCTCTATGTTCCAAATGAGGCCTAACGCATGAACGTCCTTACCGTCGACTATGTAAGGGGATATAGTTTGAGATGACTTGGAGATGATTTCTTTCAGCTCAGCGCAGTTATATGCCCACTTCCTTAGTTCGAAGCCGCCTTCTTGAAGAATTTCGGATACGTTTTGTTGAAGCAACCGGAGTTGTGACTTGCAAGAGGCTCCAGTTAGCAGGTCATCCATGTAAAAATCATTGAGGATCGCGTCAACCGCTTTCTTACACCCATTAGTTGTGCACTTAGCAGTTTGTTGCAACGCTTTTACAGCTAAGTGAGACGCGGCGGCCACCCCGTACGTTACGCGTAACATGCGGTAATCTCTAATGGGTGAAGATGGATCTGGACGCCAAACGATTCGTTGCAGATCGACGTGTTTCGACGAAACGCAGACCTGCCGATACATTTTAGCTACATCCGCGGTTACCGCGTAGCGATGCGTTCTGAAGCGCAGCAATATAGAATATAAATCTTGCTGTAGCTGAGGTCCAACAAACAATGCGTCACTAAGCGAGTTACCCGTGGTGGTTTTGGCGGACGCGTTGAAGACTACCCTCAGCTTGGTCGTAACGCTAGATTCTTTAATGACTGGGTGGTGTGGCATATAATACACCTCACTCGTCGTTTCAAACACCTCCTCCATGTGACCCATGTCAATGAGCTCTCTCATGAACTCATCGTAGCGCAAACGCAAATCGCTGTTGCTAGCGAGCCTTCGTTCTATGCATAGCAGGTTACGTATTGCGAAGTTTCGTGACTCACCCAATACAGTGTTAGGTTTAAGCGGTAGTTCAACCACAAAGCGACCATCCGGCATTCTTTGATGTGTAGAATTGAAGTGATTCTCGCAGAAGTTTTCCTCATGCGTGAGATGCTGTTTCTGCGGCGAGTCTTCGAGCTCCCATAACCTAGCGAGCGCTCGATCTAATTGCACATCGCAATGCAGCGATTGCAAACTAGGCGTTGGCGAACCAAGATTGTCAACGTTTCCAAATAAAGTCCAGCCGAAAACTGTTTTCTGGGCCATAGGCGTGCCAGACGGACCTTTTCGAAGCTCCACACAGATTAGTTGATCCATTACATCCATGCCTACGAGTACGTCTATGCGGCCAGGCTTCGCGAAATGTGGATCAGCTAGGAATAAGCCTTGGATATGTGGCCAACTAGAAACACTCAAGGTCTGCGTCGGCAAATCGTTGGTGATTTTCGGAAGAATCAGCGCGGTAATATCATAGCATTTATCCGAACAATTAGACGAAAGCGTGAGCAGCGTTTCGCCTCTACAGCGACCGCCTTGCGATGAACAAATTCCTGTGACAAATACAGAAGACGATGAACGTGTTAATCCCAAACGCTGTACACATGTCTCCGTTACAAAAGAGGCGTGCGACCCGGTGTCGAACAATAAACGTGCGGTCTGCCAATGACCAGCGCAGTCTCGAATCTTTGCTAATGCGGTAGATAATATAACTGATTTTTGCGTTGCAGGTAGCGGAATGGAACCAGCACTCAAGCAGGACGAAACGTGTGAAGCAGCGCTATTCACTGCTAAAGCGGTGGCAGATGAACCAGTTGCATGGTTGCTTACAGATGCGGGATTCGTGGCGGCAGCGATGGCATCGACGACATGAGCCGATGTGGCGGCGGGTGAACGTGTATTACTGTGAAGCAGCGTATGGTGTCGTTGATGACATATTCGGCAAGCGGATGAGCTATTACAGCGTTCTTTGTAATGCCCTGGACTTAAACAATTCAAGCAAGCTTTGGATTCTTTGATAAATTTAGATTTTGCAGTAAAATCTAAACTACGAAATTTGTCGCAAGAGTAGATCTTATGAGCTGCATTGCAGTACATGCAGCGCGCGGGGTTTTGTTCTGGAATTGCGTGAAATACTTTGGTTGATTTCGCAGCATATTTATGCGTCGTCGGCTTAATAGTTGCTGCCTGCGGAACAGGCGCGGTAATCATTGCCAATGAGCGGCACCTAATCTCCAGAAACGTTGTCAGTTGTTCGAAGGTGGGGGGTTCATCGCTAATAAGCGATAACTCCCACTGCTTGCGGGTTTCGAACGCGAGTTTATTTACTGTATTATGTACTAACCAATCGTCCCAGAAGTCTACGGGACGCCCTAATGCTTTAAGCTCTCGTATGTGTTGCTGAATTGCATCGAGAACACCCTT